TAAAGAGTACAGGCCGTAGCCATCGCACGTACCGGCAAGCAGCAGAAACATACACGCAAAGGAAGGTCGTGCAAGCATGTGGCGCCTGCATTGTCGTCTATGCGAGGATCTGAAGACGGAAGAAGAAACCATCATGCCGGGGCTTGCTTCTGTGTTGATTCGCTGAGGGTCGATAGTGAAATCCTGTGAGGAAAAAGAAGTGTGCTCAGCGGAAACCTCCGAATGACCCATCATCCCATCTCTGACAAAAGCGGTCATGCGCGCTCTTACTGCGTCACGAGTACTTGGGAATTGCCATTACATGCGGGCATTCGGGGAAAAAGAAATCAGGATCCATAATTTTTGAATGCTGGCCATAACACGTAACGGTCTGCTGGCCGTTACATGTCGGCCCATATACGCCACCAGAGAGCGGATGATTCGGAGCCTCTTACCTCCTCCCTCCACCCGTCCACCGCTTTTAAAGAGCATTCCAAAGCAAAATTCACTCCTATGATAGCCGTACGGTCGTAAAAATTAGTTCCAAGGGGAACAAATTGCTTGGTCTGAAGAGTACACGGGAAGATCTCTCCATGGCGCACCGTGGAACGGGTGACACTGACCTCAAAGAAATGAGATTCAAACGAAACCATATCTTGCGATACATTAATTTCCAAATATTAGGAATTAGTTGAAATAAAGACATCTTCTTAGTGTCAAAGAAGATCACGCGTGCCCTTAAAAATGTTTCTTTTCGAGTTCTATAGCTTTCTAATGGCCTATCTCCTTCATTTTTAAAATTGATTTTATTCGCCAGGCGTGCATCACCAATTTTCTTTCATTCTCAATCAATGCACATCAACAGATGTTGTCCATCTGTTGGTTTCTTCCTTCTGCCACCCTGCGAACATTTTGGTACGTCTCAATAATGTTTTCGAGACAGCTGCATATTTTTTGACGTACATTTATTGCCTCACGTCTTCTCATCTGATCCACTTAGGCAGAGAGAAATCCACGTATGTGGCTGACATTACTTTCATCCGAGGACCAGTTCCATTTTAGCCCCTACGGTCCCTCCCTCTCTCCCTCCCTTCTTTCCTGTCCTCCCTCTCAGCCCCCCCCCCCCGGAGCTGGAGTAATGTCCACGCGAGGGAATCTGCTCTGTCCAATCTCATTAGTGGCCCCGCGGACGCTCCTTGTTGTTGTGGTGGGGGCTGTGGTGGTTGTGGTAATGGTGTTGATGATGATTGTTGTTGCTGCTGCTGCTGTTGTTGTTGTTGCTGCTGCTGCTGCTGCCGCTGTTGTTGTTGATATTGTTGTTGTTGCTCTTGCTCTTGGTAGTATTGATGCCAAAACTGATGCTGTACTTGCCCATGCCGCAGTAACTCATACTGCTGACTATGTAGCGTGCTTGGGTAGAAATAGTGGAAAGGGTATTGACTGGTATACGCAGGCGGGGAGGGATTGAAAGAGGAAGAGAACGGAGGCGACACCGTCAGGATAGAAGGGGGGA